CAGTCAACAACTAACTCAAGCGATAAAGGGGCTTCAGAATTTTAGCGGATTAATTCATAAATCGAGTAAAGTATGTACCCAGTCCAAGACATGAATGCAAGTAACTAGTCTTTTCGGAGTGCGGAGCAGTCCTCAAGGTTTTGAGCTTATGTTCGAGCGGATGGAGACCAGTTGTATCTACCGTAAAGCGAAGGTATCCACAGAGTCTTCAAAGAAAATGCACTTCTCTTTCCCGAGTTTGAAACCCGTGTCGTCTGAACGTGCGAGCAATAGGTTTAGACTTTCTAGTTAACTTTGTTCGATAGGCCGGTTACTGATATATCGTCAGCATATATGCAGAAGTGAGGTATGTCCTTCATGCGGCTATCGAAAATAACTGCCTGCAAAATCCGGACTGATGCCAACAAAGAGAACTCCTTCAGACTCAGATGCAGGGCACCTGGATCTATCGCAAGACCAAACAACTCCAAGGGTACGCGAAACGCAATGAAATTAAGAACTTATTAAAACCCACCAAGACTATCTATGACCCCTGCATCCAGGTAAATACGCCGCTGCTCAGCTCTGATGGAGCAACACCCTGAAAGAGAGGCACTATCACGACCTTCCACGGTCTTACACTCAGGACACTGTTCCCACTGCTCCAGACGTGCTTTTGTCCGGCTGACCACTTTCTTCCAATGTCTTCTCCATTAGCTCTATACAGAAACCGTAATCTTCCCAACCGGCGTCCCACATCGTCTCTCGTCATTCTTGACCGGGCCTGCAGGTCGTAGCGGCTAGTATCTACCTTGATAACTTAACCTGTTGCGATAGATCCACGTTACAAGCAAAATGTCCGCGCGCGGATTGATCTCGTCGGACACCTCCGAAATGAATGCAGCAAAAACCTGCTGCCCTACCAAACGCCCCCATCGTCAGCCTGCCCCTATCCCCGCTCCTCTACCTCCTCCAACTTTGAACTTTCTGTTCCGTATATTCTCCGATGTCAGCTACTTCTAACTGCAGCCTCACTGAGCTCCAACATTCCCAACCACCGGAAATACCTTTTTCCTGTGCGGTCTGTATATATCTTCGGAAGTGGACGTCTCTTTCACCTTCCCCTTTACTTATTTGGTTAATTTATACATTTCTTTTGGCGTCGTTTCACGCCGCTTTGCGGTCTCGGAGGGGGACCGTATACTCTATAGGGGTGTCAGCTTAACTTGCGTTCAGCTAATGGTATGTAGGCGCTCCCCCATCAGTTACAGGATTCACTCGGCCCGTTGTGCCTCGGAGCGCTCTCTCGATCCCCGACAACAGGCACAGAGCGGCAAATGATATGGACAGAATGACATTACTGACAATGAGAAGGGAGACTGGAATGACCATTTGTGGCTCATTAGTAGTCAGCAGTTACTCATACACAACCTCAGATGTTGCGGCACTCGAGGCTTGAACCGACACCGGGCTCCAAGGGCAACAGTTTTTAAAATGCTGTGGACTGTTGAAAATAGGATGGCGTACACTTAGGCAAATGAAAACCTGGAAGAGGCTCGAATTGTCGACCTCTCGGATTACGATAGTTTTTCTTGAATGGGTTTGATGACAAAAGTCCCCAATCCAGGCTGCTTGGTGTCGCATTAAGACTCACCACCGCCATATGATCATTGTTGAAGCAGCCGACGGACACCGTAATGAAGAAGGTTGAAAAATAATTTTAAATAATATCGTGTTCAGTTGACAGTTAGAGGAGGGACGTCGAAGTAGTTTCTTTCTGGTCCGCAATTAAGTATGTTACACCTGCAGGAAGTATGTACGTTTTCTCCACAAGGTTTGATTTGGAAGAGTGATTTAAGTAGATGTGGACATCTATCGCGGCATAACGGCAACATTCTACGGAAACAAAGAGGGCTGCGTCGGCCTTAACCTGCGCTCAAATGCAAAATTAAAGCATTATTTTCCTTTCTGAATTCGAAGTAAAGCAGTGAACCCCACTGGCAAGTCACTCTAAGAATGCAAATTCTCAAGATGAGCTAACCCATATGCTAAAATTCTTCTTCTCCATCGTCGTCGTTATCATAAATATAATCAACACCACCATCATCATCATCATCCTCACCATCATCATCCTCAGCATCATCATCATCATCATCATCATCATCATCATCATCATCATCATCATCATCGATCATCATCATCATCATCATCATCATCATCATCATCATCATCATCATCATTAACCATCATCATCATCATCATCATCATCATCATCATCATCATCATCATCATTATCGTCCATCATCATCATCATCATCATCATCATCATCATCATCATCATCATCATCACCGTCGTCGTGTGGAGGCCTCTCTGCGATTGATCGATCCCAACAGACTGCCCCGTCTGCACTGTGGCCAGGTGATGCACAACTGCCGGGTGATTCGAAGGCATTTGGATCCCCCGCCTGAACAAGTATGCCACCAGTGAGGCCGACGTGCCCTGGCTGGCGTATCAACCCTACCTTGCAGGCCGAGACCTCTCCATCGGTTCTATAGTCCTCTCCGACTTGCTGGTGGCCATGGCCTACACACACCAGCATTCCCTCGATGACACCTTCCTGACATTCAGTCTGGCTAAACTGCTCTACCAGCTGGGGGTTCTGCCAGCCCTACTCCTGGCACTATTGGCTACAAGTGAAAGCGGAAGCCTTCTCCAAGTCCGTAGCGACCGTCTTCATTACATGTCCATTGACGCCTACCCTCTCCAAAACACTTCCTTGCCCCCTTCTCCTCCCCGTCCGAGGAAGTAAACTCGTCAGCAACACTTATGTCCAACTGAAAAGTCGACTTATTTTTGGTCATACAGTGGTGTTTTATTTTTTTAATCCCCCCTCCCAAACCAGATGAAAATAAAGTAGGAACTGCAAAGATTTATCCACGAGCAAGGCATAGTTGGTTAGCCAGCAGTGTATGCACCTTGAGCACCGCTCTACTGTTGTCTTGCGAACCCTAATTTTTTTGGCAACGTTGACTTCGAATCCGACTTTCTCCTATTAATTGCTTCGAAAGCACTGAAGCGCATCCTAGCCTTCGAAGCGATACAATGAAAGCTATTTGTGCGTTCGTTTCGGAAAGACGTTTACTTTCTATGAAAGTGAGCCGTTGATAACAATATTTCAAAGAAAATGACGCAGGCAGTAAACATCTGCACGCTTTTCGTAAACATTGATTTCACTTGGTCGTAACTTGTTAAAACGAATAAATAATATGAGTTGACCCAAGTGTGAAAAACTCTAGGCGTTTGGCGGGATTTGA